ATAATTCATTGTATTTAACCCTCTGACAGATTCCTCTGAAATCTCAGATGAGGATTGGAAAGGCTCCAGTGTCTCCAAGTGTCTTTTAAAATGACACTGTTCTGTGCTCTGCAGGCTGAGAGATTGTTTTGATTGTTAAAATAGTTTCTAATTTATGTTTTTAAAAAGCTTCAGGAGCCAGCTGTTCCCTGCTCTCTCAGAGGCCATTGAGTTAAAACAAGGTAGAGTGATTTGTCTTGCCTCAATTTAGCTGTAATGAGTATTAAGTGGTTTATCTATGTGGAGGAAAGTTACTCAGCTAGATTACATCCAAGTTGAATTACACCCCGTTCCAGATGGAGTATATTTTTTAAGACAGTAAATCTTGAGGAGGGTGGATAATAACAGTAACGCTCCTTCCTGGGCTGGAATGTGACTCTTCTACCTCTCGTGGAGATAATGTGCGGAGCTACATCCAATTAGTTTTTCAAAGGCTTTGTAAAGAAACGGGGCTTCAGGTTTTACGGCTCTGTGAAAATTTAGCTTGAAGCATTTACATTGTACAAGTAAGCGATGGCTGATGGTGATTATGGTTTTCATCTGGTTTGCTGTTGCGGGTAGCAGCCTGGCAGGGCATGACACCGTCTCTCTCCCCGACCTCCTCTTCTGCACCAAGTGTGATGGCTGCGACAGGGAGGGTGTTGGGTGGGAGGTGAGATGTTTTGATGGGAAATTCCTTCCTTCTGGTGTCATCTGGTCCACTAAGGCACCCATTGCTCATGCACCTGGTGCTTGTGGCTGCGAGGAGTAACTGGAGGAGGACGTTGGCCCCACTGGCATCCCAAGCGGCAGCAAGTGCCAGAGCATTCTCCCAAAAACCTTATCCTTGACCATGTGGCCTTGACCACCATCCTTGTCTGCTTCCCTGGTACTGTACCTCCCCTTCACTGTGCCACAATTCTACAGAGCCAAGCGGCGTGGTTGTCCAGCCAGGGTAGGACGAAGTGTCGGGTCACTGGTGAGGCACCAGCAGGTGTGGGTGGACTCGAAGTTGGTGCCACGAGGTGGTGGCCCAGGCAGGTGTACCGGGGGTGCACCCCAGCACCCAGGTCTGGGAGCCGCTCGTTCCACTGAGGAGAAGGCATTTGGGCTGATGGAGGTGGAACATTCCTCACAGCTGGCAGCAGGCTTTGACAAGGCGATGGGGACCGTTCGTTTAATTTCTAATGAAGGGGATGAGGGGGTCCAAGCTGTCAGTGATCCAGCTCTACCACCTCTCTTGGGTGGGTCAGCGAGGCTGTCCTCGCCCCATGGCTCTGGGGGAGGCAGGGGAGGAGGGAAACTCACTGATAAGGGGAAGGTCAGAGGCAGAAAAATGTTGGGAATGTGTTTCTTGATCTAACGTGGGAGAGACCCAGCCTGGGGTTTTGCTGCTCAGCCCGGCAGTGTTACTGCCTGCTGTCGTGAGAGTTATGGGATTTTTTAAACTGAGATCAAGATGCAGATGGCTCAGCTGGCACCTACCTCAACACAGGCAGGTCCAGAAGATGGAGACGGTTCATCTTTGAGGGCACAGTGAGGATGGTGACGGCTCTGAGCACTGTTTCTCAGCCTTTGCCTGAGATGGAGCATCTCCTGCTCACAAAACAGCTCATTTGCTTTTTTTCTTCTTTTTTCCATATATTTTATGTTGCTGAGATGAGATTTTGGACATGGTTTGAACGGTGGTGTTTGAAGAATTCTAGCAAATCTCAGAACTACCTTTCAAGGCTGGAGGTAGCTGTGGCGTGCATTGGCTCCTGGGGATGTAGGGGTTGCCTTCCCAAGGAGTACCCTTTTTTTGCAAGGGATATGAAACCAATGAGGAAATAATTCTCTCCCCATTTCCTTTTCTTTGGCAGCCATGCTCAAGTTTTTCCATCAACCAGCCAGTCCTTGTAGTATCCAGGGCCTGAACACAACAGCTTCTGTGTCACCATTCAACCACTTAACCTTAATCTCCTGTAGCTGTTAGCAGTGCTGGAATCTGCCACAAACACATGTTGAAGAGGTTGCTCATGAGGTTCAGGCTGTCAGCCTCCACCTTGGGTAACTTCCCGCTGTGCTTGAACGCAGAGCTGCTGGAGAGGACCTCCTGCAGTTTCTCTGCCCTTTGTGGGTGCGGGACTGGGAAAAAGGGCTTGTCTGCATCAGAAATAGTTCCCATAAGCTTTTTTTTTTGGTTGGTGTTCTTTGCACATGACGTGGTGTGGTGGTCCACAATATAAACACTTAGTGGTGATAAGAGAGTACAAAGGTGAGGGGGGGCACTGTGTATAGCAGGCTCCCTGCTGCTTGGGAAACAGGCTTGGACTGCTAACAGGCAACAGGCTTAGTGAGTAACTGTGGTTCTTGTGGAGCCTGTGTCTGTTACTGGCATTACATCGAGATCTGCTTTAGCATTATCTGGCATTTTTACACTTGTTTATGCAAGTGTTGCTGTCTGTGCAATTTATGTATGCAGGGACTGTGCTTGGTCCAGAGGCGTATCTCTGATTCCCAGGCAGGTGTGGACTGAGCCTCTCCTTTGACACCGCTTTGAATCCTTCCTTGAAGCTGCTTTGAATGCCCCGATACTTTGAGATAAAAATCAGGACCTGCTGTATCAGGATCACTGTATTCATTGTGTAGAAGCACTCAGCTCTGCTGCTGCCCTGGCAGCATGAGGCTACCAGTGAAGCTGGAGGGCAGGCGGGGAAGGACACCTTATCTGACCAGATCTACCTGTGGAGGCTGTTGTATTCAGCACAGGAGTGAAAATGGTGGAGTCTCTGGTTGTCCTCAGACAGAGCTGGAGACTGTTCCGAGAACTGTTTAGCCAAATGGGTATTACTGGACTGAATTTAGGGGTAAGTTAAGGAAGTGTGGTGGTTTGGGGCACAGAGGGAGGTCAGACCAAAGGGTCCGTGGTCCTCCTGGCTTTGTATTTAAGAATCTCAAACTCCCCTCTCACCCTGCTGGAGGACAGGTTCATTACTAATTCAGGAAGTTGTTCAAGCTGATGCTGAAATCTTGTTGACTTAAGCACCGATCTTCTGCAGCATTATACTCGCTACCTTTTGATATGCATGACTAAATTCATGACGCTGTTGGCACAAGGCCTTTGCGGGGAAGGTCCTATGGATTGATCCTATAACCTACTTGGTTTGCCCTCTTTTCCTCTGACCTGGAGACTCCTCCCACGTTGGGGTGGTTGTTGGGCAGAGAGAGTTTGTGAACCCTGCAGCTGAAGGTGATATTGCTGTGAACCTCCCCACCGCTTAAACAGTTCACTGAACTTACATAGCTTCCTACGGTGTCGTCTTAACCTTTTTCATGAGGACTTGTTTGGACTTCCCAGGTTTGGACAAAGCACAATCCAAACAAAAAAGTGAGCATGTTTCCTCTGAGAGTGTTTGTGCTTTAGATGGGCACTTGACTCCGATCCGTCCCGCTGTTCCTTTATGTGCGGTTTGGCACTTGTCTATGGCAACACTTTTTCAAGCATATTCCAATTTTTCTCTTGAATGGTCAAAGCACTCTCAGTGATTAGCTGTAGCTTGCATGCTAGCTCTTCTGCAAAACTGCCCCCAGAGTGGCCAAGAAACGGCATTTGGGCTTGTGCCGAGTGCATTCGGCAGCTACAGGCAAAGGCAAAGATAAGCTGTTTAGCGCAGAGCCAGCCTAAACCTTACACGTGTGCATGGGCGTGTGTTTGTGTGCGCGGAGATGCAGCCAGTGGTGCCTGCTAACCATCATGGGGCTGATCCTAAAAGGTGCTGGCAGTCGGCAATGTGCACCGCCTGGCATCGGTGCGGTTGCGTTAATGCCCGGTTCCTCACCGATTCACGCTCGGTGGGAGGTCCGGTGGTTGAACAGTGGCTTTTGCAGTCATGCCATAATAAATGAAGTGAGGTAAAACATAATTCCATTCTGCAGAGCCCTTTTAGCAGTGCGGAAAATGTTTGGATTTTTTCATCTGCTTAAGCTGCAAAACTCTTTTCCTCCTGCTGTAACAACTCACAGCCTCTGCCACCAAAATTACAAGTGGAGGAGAAATTTTGCAAACATCCAGATGGATGGAAGGAACTATTGCAAACTGCTAAGCTATAATGAAAAAGGAGAAAAGGTTTCCCCAGGTTCCTTTATTTTCTTCCCTGTGAAGTTTGCAAATGTGTTGCTTCAAAGCACATTTCAAAACAAAAACCAGATGTTTTGGAGAGCAGTAAGCCACCCACAGAGCTGTCCGGCAAGTTATCTTCTACACCAAGTCACCCTATCTGGTGATGCTGTCTTACTGCAATGGTAAACTGGCCATTACATTCCTTCAGGTTGAATATTACCATTTTATGTGAGGTTATTCTGTATTTTATTGTCCTGGTATTTTTTCTGTTTAGTGTCACGTGCTCCCACCAGACAAAACAGATGTCCGGGGTAGGCACTTGCTGTGCACGTCAGGCTGTGTGCATGCTGCAGCTCTGTGGCCTTGCTGTATACACTTCTTCCCCTTTTACAGCACTGGCAGTTGTGGCAGTGACCTCCTTGTAGAGCTGTGCCAGCGGCTTATTTTTGTGAGTTTTTCAGGTGTTTTTGAAAGAAAAAGGCACGTGTGTGGAGGGCTTGTTTATTCAAACGTAAAAGGAAACATCTTGTTCTGTTGTTGAGTATTTTGGTGCGTTTTAGATGAATGAGAATGGCTTTCAAAGCTAGGAAATTACTTTTATAAAATTATGAAACACAGTATTTCAACTTCACTTTCCTTCTGTACCCCCCAACCTGGTTGCACTGATATGGATTCACAGGAGATATTGCTGTTGCTGAATCTCAGCTTTTTAGTGAAGAAAGCTTTTGTCGGAATCCCCTCCTCACCCTATACACTTGCGGTTTTATTCATTAGGTCTTTCCTAAATTCACCTTCCAGGGAGGGGGAAAACGTATCGCTGTCTGACAGTACTTGCCTGTAACACAAGAAGCTTAAACATATTTTTTCTCTTTTCCTAAAGATTCGTCTTCCAACTATATCAGGCAACTTGAAACAAAAGTGAAACTGCTGGAGGATGACAACAAGCTTCTTTCCCAGGTAGGTTTTTTATTGCCTAATAGATATTCATGTGGCTCGGTTCTCCTGTTTCTGTATAGTTGTGTCTGACTGCCCACTTGAATGCACAAGGGATTTCAGTGGACCAGGGGAAGAGCATAATGGTCTTTTCATATCAACCCCCCACTGATAGAATTGGGTCTCCTTTTGTTAAAAAAAAAAAGAGAGGGAAAAAAAAGAGAGGGGGAAAAAAGTATACCCTCTGTTAGTGTCCGTGTGTGTTTTGGAGATGCATTAACGCCTCCCTGCAGAACACCTTGATCCACTGCTGCTCTCAGGGATGCTGCGAGGGTCTGGCGCTGCCTGTGCCCTTGCTGTAGGATTTTGTCTTGCTTGCCCATTTACATTGACTTTTGTCTTGTTGAAAGAGGAGGCTGTACTCAAAGGACAGCCTGGGGAATAGTTTTGTGCAGTGCTGGCTCCCAGCTTTTATTTGAGTTCTTGCTTAAAACCAAACAGACCTCTTTAAAACTGGCACTTTTTACTTGCATCTGCCCTTCAAAGTCTACTCCACGTGCCACTGGGCTTTTGATCACTCCTGGTACTTACCTATCTGTATATAGGAATGTCAAGCAGCAGGAGAAAACAGTCATTCTGTCTGGTATGTCCCCTGGATCCCCCGTAAAACACAGCACTTGGTGTAAACAGGGGCAGCTTTGCTGAAATCAGTGAAACACTGTCTATTTAAACCATTGGAAGAGTTACCCTTTTTCTCTTGTTCTTTGCATCCTTTCACTGTTGGACTGTTCTACCTCCCTGGCATTTTAAAGGTTTTTTTCTATACTTTGCTTCTTACTTCAAGCACTGAGTTTCACAGTCATATTGTTCCAGATTCTTTCCAATTATAAGGACTGGAAGTAAAAAAACCCTCCTAATTATTATTATTTTTTTTAAATACCTTTTTGCCAGTTTATGTTGTGCTGTTCTTGCATTTCTCCAAGTCTGAAAATAGGCTGCTTCAGGATCACGTTTCTAAAACATTCCTGTTTAAAAAAAAAAAAATTGAAAAGACGGCTCTGTGCTTACTGAAATTTCACATTTTGACCTGACTGTGAGGTTTTTTTAAAGATTACCGCAAATTTCCAGTGTACTCATTGGCATTGCTAGACATGAAACAAAACTCACAGGGCACCGAAGGGTTAAAACCCCAAAAGGGTGCTCAACTCAACAGCTACTGACTGGCTTCATGTATTAAACAATTGCTAATTTAATTTTAACTCCCTCTGTCTTTTTCCCAACCCATGAGAGAGCTGGTGGCAGTCGAAACCCCGAGACTATTTAATTGGAGCTATTGATGAGCAGATGGGCTGTGCGTGGGCAGTTGGGATATGCATTGATTCAGGGACGGGCTCGATGTGCCCTTGTCCCAGCTTCGTCCTGTCACAGCCGAGCATGTTACTCCATCAGATCTGCCTTATGAGGTCAAAAAAAGCGGTTGGTAATTAATGGGTGGTGAGTTAATAGGGGCTGAATAGCTGCCTGGGCTTATTGCACTGGGAGGATGAAGTCCAGTTAGTCTCAGGATGCGTGAGCCTGAAGCAGCCCCCCGCATCAGCCCTTCACCTTTGTGCTGTCCTGGGTGGGAAGGCTGTGCCTTTTCCTCCACGCGCACAACTGTCCTCAGGTGTCCTCACCTTTCAGTCTGTGTCGCTACAAACGTTCGAATCCAGGAGGGAGGGAAATGATCTTAAAATAGCTCTGTGCTCTGGAGAGCGCCAGCCACCTCCCCAGCAGCAGCAGCCACCGACAACAGCCTGGCTCTGACGTTCTGTGCAGCCCCTGTGCCCTCCAAAAAGACCGGGATCCAACTTATTTCAGATTGCACTCGGGAAATACCACTTTTTATCGTAGCACTGAGACAGCTTTCCTTAGGGCAACAGGAGAAGTGTTGAAGCTGCCATGGTCTGGGTGAACTCCCTGGGAATACTGAGCTGCATCGCCTCCAAAGCTGTGATGCTACAAACCTAGATTTGGATTTTTTCTCTTTTAATGAGAAATATGAGGAAGATCTGTATAGGCACAAACTCACATGCATATGTACACGTTGCTCCCAGCACTTTCCTGGAAAAGTATAATCCACTTACTGTATTTTTTCTTGCTTCATCTGATTGGAAAGTGTTTAGCTGTTACCATGCGGATCTTGGTATAAGACTCTAGTCAAAAAGAATCCTGGCAAACTTTCCTCCTGTTTTTAAAGTTGCCAGGTGATCCTGGCCATTTGAACTCCACAATGCCAAACTGGCTTGTCAACACCAAAGTCACATTTTAACTCGGCTTGGCTTTTTCCCTGGGAGTACTGACATTGCAATAATATTTGCAGTCTGGTGTCAAGAAGTTCTATCACCAGTGTGCTGAGAAGTGATGAAACCTGACGTCCTAAGTAACAAACAGTGCCTGTGCATTAAGGGATTAACAAATCAGTGGTGGTTATGGAAGTCTTCCTGGCTTCTCTCCAAGTGCTAAACATAGAGCTGAAATAGTGCTTCATCCAGAGAAACCCGAGAAGGCCAGTGCTGCAAATGATACCGAAAGCTTTACGGGAGGATTTATATTACAGTGGCCGGTGACACAATGCCCCTTTGCTAGCTGGTGCATCCTGAGTGAGATTTGTTGCTTTATCTTCTTCGGCATCTGGGGTGTGAAGCTAGGCTGAGAGATGGTCTCTTTGTACCACCTTCAGGCATGGAATTAAGTTGGTGCAGGGGTCCCCAGCCTGCACTTTTTCTCCTGCTTCCCGACATCTCCTTTCTCTGTAAGCACTTCGGAAGACAATCTTGGTGAGAGAGGCGAGAGCTCTCCAGCACGTGTCGAGGCGGCCGCTCTGCGCTGTACGTGTTACCTACAGCGCAGGCGTGCTGGGATTCACACTTTTTCTGGTGACTCATTTGGACAGATTAATGGAGAGAGCTTTTCCTCCCCTTGGGAGATCAAGAAGTACCATCTCACGAGCCACACTTTGCAGTGGGAGGAAAGTAAATGGAGAAGTGGATGTTATTTATGATAGCCGTACATGGATTTCTTTTGTTTTGACTTCTTTTGCTTTCTAGGGAAGGAGATGTGTATTTTCAGTTGGGAAATGAGCTGCTTCTGACATTGCTAACCCATCAGTAATCATTGCTCTTCCTATTCTCCTTTCTCTGAGGAAAAACGACTCCAGTTTCATACCTTTCTTTGACTCGGGTTTACACTGTAATGTTTTGCTGGCATGGCCGTGTTAACTAGAAAGTCATGCTCTTGGATGGCATTGCTGTGCTGGCAAAATCCCTGGCAGCAATTCTGAAAACACACAGCTTTTGTTGCCCTGGTTTATATTGGTTGGGGAGAGGCTGTAGCGAATGCCACTACCAGAAAAGGCCTCTCGGTGCCTGCTCACCGGTGCTGGAAGGCGCCTGTGGTGTAACCACAGTGGCAAAGACCCCACAGAGCAGGTGGAGACCTCAGTGTCCTGGGGTTGACGGTGTCAGCCTTTCTTATAAGCGTAGCTGGTTTCTGGAAGTTTTAGTCGAGGTGTAACGAAGATGAACGTAAGCTCTGAGGAATGTTGGGTGTTGGCTTTGGAGAGCTTCACAGGCATCACTTTTATAGTCTCAAATTCTCCAGGGAAGAAGTACACTAAGTTCTGCTGTGTGCATGCAATTAATCTATGCAACATCATGTGGGAGAAGTCCTGTTTTTCCTCTCTGTCATTATGGAGAGTGCCCATTACTAAGATAAAACCCCTGAGACAGGAGACCATATTTGCTTTCTGTTCCTCTGAGCTGAAAGTGTCCAAGCAGAAAATAGACCCCTTAAGCCACCTCACACTGCCCTTTAAACTAAAAATGAATTTGTAATTACACCCTTTCCCCTCAAGATTAGAGAAACCCCGTGTTTATGAGCTTCGGGAGCTCCAAAGGTCAGTTCTGGTTAGTTTTATAATTAACGCATACATTTTAGAGATAATAACAGTGACAAACTTCTGGCCATTCTTTCACATTATTTTGCATTTTCAACTCATTCTGTACAATGACAAGGATTGGGCACTTTTAACTAAAACTGAAGTTTATAGGCTTTGTGGGCTCATCACCCTGTTCTCTCTCCTCATAACTAAGTCCTGTGTGCTATCAGCTGGCTGTTGGGACTTCGTTTGGTTTATAGTCTCTGCTGAGCTGTGTCTGGCTTTTCCCTTCAGAACAGTAATGCCAAAGGCATTTTCCTGCGCAAAGATGCCCAGGGCACATTGCACACCTTTATTTCAAAAAGCCCAGCTTTGAACAGAGCAGATGTATTGGGCAGGTGAGACTCTGAGTAACTGGACATTTGACAATGAGGTCCTGGTGCATCTTTAGGGGAAAATTTCAGGTCCCCTGGTGTGGAGCAGAAATGCAAAAAATTCTTCTCTAGGGAGTGGACAACCCTTGGGATTTATGAGGAACATCAGAGTATTTAATTAAAATTGCCAAACAGACTTCAGTATTACCAGCACTTCACAGCATTTCAGTATCTGCCTGCTAGCTGATTGGGATTTGGAGTGTTCTTGGAAGATCTTTAGAGCACCCCTGGAAGGTCTTGAAAACTGTGCTTAGTCTTATTTTTAAGAAACTGCATGCTTAGCCTTAATTAAAAGAAGGCTGCAGCTGTACAGATAGTAAAATGATAGTAAATAATGCCTGTAAACACTGCTATTAAAACAGAGCTGAGGTTTTTGAGCTAGGAGCTTCCATGGTAAGGGCATCTACAGGCTGCCTCAGTTCTTTGTAGGCAAATGTGAACTTGGCACAAACATGCACTCAGCAGGCAGTTTCTAGCATATTGTTCTGAAAATGAAGGGGAAAAAACTGGACCCCAGGACTGAAGAGAGCCTGAGAATCATGAGTACTGCAAAGAACAAAGATGTAAATGCTGTTCAGCGGAGAGCTTGATGTCTTCCTGAAGAGCAGAGGAGAGAGGAGGAAAAGAAATTTCCCACAATATGCTGGCTGGCTCCAGGAGAGTCGGCGTGCAATTTCCTCTGTTGTTTTGTTATCAGTCGCTTTTGTGCGAAACCTGCCATTAACAGTTCCTGCTTGTGGAGTTGCCTCTCAGCTCTCAGAGTTGCTATAGGGTCTTAATGTTTGGGCCTCTCCTTGAAGTCCTTGGGCCTCTCCTTGCGGCTCCCGAGTTTTGTTGTGAGGCCATGGCTTGTGCCAGGAGCGTTGCACATGCTCACCACAAGTGGAACAAAATTACAAACCTGTCTTATTTCCCCAAAGTTTAGCTATTGTTTGTGTGTGAGGAGGATAAGTATAATTGCTTTAATTTAAGGTCTCACAAGGGAAATTGGTTTTTTTTTGTAATAGAGAGCAACTCAGACATGAAAGCTTTCCAGTGCATTTGGTCTCCATTTAAATTCAGAATACTGAAGGGGACATGCCCTAGCTTTCTACATTACAGTTTTTATGCACTGTTTAAATGTTTAGCCGCATATTAATTTTAACTAATCAAAACGGACAAGCATATTTGGGGCCTCATCCAAATATTCCTTTCAAGTCAATGGTGAGACTTTCTAGAGGACTCCATGCATTTTGGAGTACAGCTTATGCAGAACCAGATTTTCATGAGACCTTCTCTCATGAGACCTTTCATGAGACCACTCTCCAAACTTTGATTTAGGCCTCTAATTGCGTGGCATTGCTTACATGCGTAAATGCAAAAAATGTTAACAGAATCCCCCAAATGTAGCTTCCTTAGCTGTGGCAGCAGAAGCTTCAAGAAATCACAGCATGCAAAACCAATCCATGTCCAAGTGTGTTTCATTTCACCTCCTTCTTTTATGATTTAAAATGACAAGACTGATCTGACCAATTTGCTGTCAAATAAGTGGACTTGAGATTTAAGTAAACAATATGTATTTATTGAATAAAATGTTTTTTCCCCTCCAAATAAGAGATGTACAGTTTTATAAGAGCAGTTCAAAGATGTCTCAGACTTGCATCCAAAATACATTCAAGCCCTTTAAGACAATGGAGTTCCCTCTGTTGACTTTGGACATAAGGGTCTTGGGCTGCTACCTACCAAAATAAATACTATCTAGGTATTCACTTCCCATTCATCGGTAGGAGCACATCTAAAAAGCAGGATCAGTGACAGAAATAAGCTTTTGCAACTTGTAATGAAAGCTGGATGGTGTACTGTGTGTTCTGGGGGTTGTCACCTGTGGAATCAAGGGATTTTACGAGAATGTCACCTGGCCCATATAAATGGAGTTCCCCAAAAACCTAGGAAATATAATTCAAGAAGTTCTGAATCCAGAAGTCAAATAACAGATAGACAGAAACATACAGTGTTTATTGAATCTTAGGAATTTGAGACAATCACAAAATTTCTTGCGACAACTCAAAGTTTTCGAAGGTCTGGAGCTGAATTTCTATGTAAGAGTGTGAGTGTGAGGGAGACGCACACACACAAAGCTCTGCCATGCCCCATTTGTTTCTGTTGTGGATAAGCAAGAACATTGGGTTTAATGAGGCTCAGTTTAACCTCCAGCTGTGAAATGTGGGATTAGTCATATCCTATGCTTAACCAGCTTTGTAGTAATTTCACTAGATTCCACTTTTTTCTGTATATGAGGACAGGGTCAGGGAAAAAGCTCTTAATTGCAGTTAGATCAGGCTATGAAGAAGCAGCATTTTGTGTCTTTGTAACATGTAGAGAGGTTCAGATTACACAGATTCTCAGTGATCGGTCCATCTGAGAAGGACTGAAATACGTTTCGAGGGGAAACTAAGCAATAGCTGCAGAGGCTTAAAAACAGATTTTTGCAGTAAGTTCAATGCCAAATTCAAGACCAGCTCAAGAAAAATTCAGTGTCTGATATCTGAAAACAACTTGGGGAAGTATGGGAAGGATGTTAATCATTCCTTGCTTTTGGAAAAAAAAGCGGCTTTACCCCAAACTATAAGTTTGTGACAAAATTTTCAGTTTTGTTTTGCTTTTCATGAAGCCAAAAATGCAAATCTAAATCTTTATAGGAGACTTTTAAAGAATATTCAAACTATCTCATAAAAATTAAGACTGGCTGTAACTGATTCTTCCTGACTATTCGAGTTCTGGTTCAGCAGAGAGCTTTGAACATCTGAGTGGTCCTCAAGAAGAGAGGGGCTTGAGTGTCCATCCTGCCCTGAGCGCTGTTCAAAAGAAGAGAGAGACGGCCAGCAGAACCCTCAGCCAGCTTAGTCCCAGCATTAGTTAAAGCCTGCAAGGGACCTTTTCTGATTTATGAGAAGGGGATTCAGGTCTTTGCCTTCCTCATTCCCAGCTCCCTCGTTTCATGGGATGTGGGGAGTGCCTTGAAGGCAGCCCCAGCAGCGTTGCTGTGGCTGAGCTTTTGGGAGGAGGTGCGCTGGTTCCCTTTGGCCTCCTTGCCCAGAGTGCAGTTAGGAGAAAATGAAAGGTGACTCCAGGGGATGGTCCAGTGAGTTTATTCATGTGCTTAATACTACATCCACATCTACATCTACTTGCCTGGTGGAAGTGGGGCAGCATTCCTTAGCTTCTCCATTGACATCCCTAATGAAGAGGCTGATTTTGGTGCTAATGAGCCACAGATGCGCTCCATTAGTCTGAGACTCCTAAACTTGCATACAAGCCACAGACTGGACAGGGGCTACACTGAATGTCAATGGTTATAGCTCCATTTGGCTTTGTTAACTATTGAGCTGCATTTCTATTTGGGTTATAGGCTGTGATGCTTGAATCTCAGCTGTGCCATATCCTCTCTTGAGCAAAGCCTGCCAGTTGTGTGATTATAATTATATACTGCAAATTGGTTTGAGCTGATTATCTGAGTCTCCCATGAGTTACAGGGTTGATCTTTCTCTGCTGATATAAAACAAGAGGAAAAAAATACAGACACTCTTGAATATTAACAGTGTACTAAAGTTCCCTACCTCAGTTGCTACAGAGAATGGAGAGGTTTGAAACTTGCACTGCTTTTATTGCCCGTACCCCACTGAGATACTAATAAAAATATTTTTCCAAGAGTGGTTTTACACAGCAAAATCTGCTAAGCCTCTTACTGACTGTCTCCTGCGATTTATTAAGCCTTTCCCAAAGTGTTAGCTCCCCTGACAATAGAGAATTCCAGTTGTCACCATTGCAACCAGATGAAATCTGCTGCTTTGCCCCTCCAGCTTGTATGAATGCAGCTCATGATATGAGGGGAAAGTCAGAGCATAGGCAGAAGTGGGGATGCTCGTTCCTGCGTTGTGTTTGCGAATGGCTGAGGTCCAGCCATGGCACAATGTCCAAATGCATCCTTACGGCTCCCTGTGCTGCTGCTGTACAAGGGCTGTGCACCTCATTCTCAGGGTCGTACCATTTCCAATTCCACACGAACAACTGAAAATGGCTTTACTGATGAAACTGGCTGAGGCTGCGCTTGTGCCCTGCTGGCTGAATACTGGAGAGGGAACTGGGAGAGTAGGTGTCTTGGCAGAACATCGTCCTCTAAAGCCTTTGTCACCAGTCTAAGGAATGACCCCTGGATGCACTGCATGTGCAACAGGGATATGCACAAGTGTAAAGGAATTTAATCCCTCCTGTTACAGAAAGCTCATGTTATTACATGACATGGAAGATGTTAAATAGTTTTAATCTCATCCCTTAATTTTTTTTCTTATTTGCAGAGTTCTTTCAAAATCCAATACTTTGATTTTTTATTGCACTCTCATGTGTGTAATTTCCAGCTTGCCTGATAAATGCTGTTGAAGCTAATGGGACTCTTCACATATACTTAAAGTCAAATATGTGCTTTGCTGAGCTTATTTCTGCTTGAATATGTCTTGTAGTGATAACTGCAATTACTGAACCTTAATTCAATTATTTGCTAGCTTCACACAGTGAAATTGCCCATCCCTCAACTTCCTGGTGCATGAGACCCTAAAACACGAATTAATGAGATAAGGAGGAAATCTTTGTGTGGTAGGGGGTGTTCACTGGGGCACAAGGCTGCCTGAAAGGGCCACTCGTGTGTGGTGCTGAGGTCACGAGAAACCGGGGCCATTGTCCTGGTGCCCGTGTGAGAGCTGCGCAAGGCAGGCGCTTTACAGCATCGCCTTCACATTATTTGAGATGTGTTTCTGCTTTGCTTTACCGCAGCAAAATATCACTGCTCTGCTGGACTCAGTAAGGATACCTTGGGCCAGGTTGTTCTCACGGAGTGGTGTGTTCTGATAGTGCCATGGAACCCTGTGGGTATGGTAAAATATCCGTAGCTGTGAATAAGAGTAAGGTGATCAAGCTTAATCAACCGTTTGTGGGGTCACCATGCTCTAAATTGGGATAGTAAGATGTTAATGTTTGTGCAGATAATAATGGATTCTGCAAGACTTCATTCATTAATATGTGAAAAGGGGTTGAAGTTCAAATAATAACATTATCTTGTCAAGCGCTGCATGTAAGACCAGCTTATTTTGGTCATCTGTGGTAAAGATGGAGTTTTTTCCAAGATGATAAAATAACTTTTTTCTGTTAAGTTTCCAAATGTATAATGTTCTTCTGTTCCCTTCTAGCTGGCTGACTGCAACAGCTTGCCACGAAGTTTCAGTAAGGTAGAGAGAGCTAATGCATCCACAAACAGCTTCTTGGATCCGGGGGCTGCCTTTTAATATTGCTGCTGGTTTTTGGGGCTCTGATTGCTTGTTCTTTCACATGCTAATGTTGGCGATTTCCATTTTTTACTTGTCTTAATGTATTAAATAAGCCCCTAATTATTTTTTATTTCCCTCCTGTACTTTTGCAAAAGGCATTGTTTAGTAACATCTGAGTTTTGACCAACTTCAAACCAAAGCCATTTACCTACCTGGAGAGAAGTTGGTACTCTTAGCTAAATTGCTGCAGGAAATAACAGGAAAAGATTTTGAGCTAAACCTTCCATTTAATTACCCGGTTGCAAACAATGGGTTGTTGAGTGTCAAAATTGAGGCGGTTTCAATTACTGGAACAATTATGGTTTAGAAAATTGTTGCCGGTAGGTTTAAGAATTTATATTACAGTGACAGGCAAGTAATTCAGGTAATGGGCAGTACAAGAGTCCGTAAAGATGAAGGCGGCCTGACCCAGTGGACTGAAATAAAACCTTCCTCCTTTTTCTCTTCACACATATATATAATCAAAAGCCAAGGTCTCAGCAGAGTTTTCCATCTAACATCCGAGATTTATGGGGTAAAACTAGAATATGAAGTAAGAATGACATTTTTTTCTTACAGACTTTTTTTCATATAGAGAATTACCCAGATCATAAGCCCAAATCCTTATGGGCTTACATGGTCAGGATGGGATGCCCTTGCCCTATTGCTAAGGACCATGTTCACCCTGATGTTTAAATGACAGCTAAAGGAAATCCTGTGCTTCGTAAAAGGGTGGAGTAGCCACTAAAAAATGGAAATTGGTTGTCTCTGAGGGCTGGGTGATGGTGTGGCATATTCAGTTCTGCAAAGAAAATCTTCTCAGCTGGTGTCAATAAGGGTATCTTCTATTGCCTATATTGAGTTCGTCACAATATTCCTTTCCATCTAGTTGCATTTCATGTTAAGATACATAGTTTCTTCTAATGTTATGTTGAATAGCAGGTATAATACTCATAAATTTAAGTGGTGTGCTGTGTAATCTGCTGTCTCTTGAGCTTAGTGCCAGTGGGTCTGCGTTGTAGGAAAACGAAGCTGATTATTATAAAGCCTCTGAAATGACAGTCCTCTGGGAAGTCTGCTGTTGGTGACTCATGTATGCTGGATTCTCCTCTTCATTCTGGACACATTTTTCCATCCCTTTATAAAGGGACCCCCCCAGAGGCAAACAAAAAGGGGCTTTGTAGGACTCCTGGCCTTCAAATTGGTGCTTGTTTTTTGTTTTTTGTTTTTTTTTTTAAATGGCGTGTGGACCAGGAGAGGAAGCTTTCACAATGCAGGAGGTTACAAATGAGTTACAAAGAAGTGACGAGAGCAGCATCGCAGGTGCTCAGACGTAGTCCTCAGGTGCCACCAGGGCTATCCCTCCTGGCTCCTGCCGTGCACCAGAAGGATGTAGGTCTCCAGCAGCTCTTAATCACATCTGCCAAGCCTCCGCGGGTGCCTTGGATACACTCAGGCACAGGATGCCCGTGTGTAGACACCCAAATTGCTCCAAGGTGACCCCACAGCCCGTGGGGAGAAGGGAAGCTGTAACTCTTTTTAAAGGCTTTAATATTTCCAAAGGGCGCAGGGTCAAACTGATCATTTATGATTAATTTTTTATTTTTAACCTCTGTTCAGCCTTCAGCTGTTACAACTTATGCGAAAGGAGAAAATAGTGTTTTCAATTAAAGACTACTTATGTAACAACCCTGTTTTGAATGCTAATTCATTAATTACTGGAAGCTGACAGTGTCGCTTTTTAATTTTTCTCGGTCAGTTCAGCACATAATTCTAATTGCAATCGTTCTGGGATTTTTGCTGATCTCTTTCATAAATGCTGAGAAATATCTGTCAAGTAAATTTCTGTCTTTCTGTATTTAATTTCTGTTAAGAATGGTCCATTTTGTTACACCAAAGTGCCTTGGAATTAAATCCTTGTCTTCTTTTTTGTCCCAAGTAACACTGAAGGGTAACAGAAAAGATGATTTGTCTAACTTCTCTATAAGTTTTCAACACTTTATCTTCACAGTTGGTTCAACATTGGCCACTGCACTATCTGACTTTAGTGGACAGAAACGGAAAGGAAAATAAATGTTTCTTCTTAGTACTTTGACCTTAAAATACCACAAACACCATCCATCTTCTTGTGTTATTTGTGTTATTTTCAAATTGAATCACTCAGCACATCAGGTCAAAAAGTCAGAGGCCACCATTTCTTTTCCCTGCTAGCAGGATAGAAAGCTTTGATAGGGACAAGTGTTTGCTGATGTTTTTAAAAATGTAATTTTAGGCTTTGGTAAGCACCAAGACTTTAATTTCTGTCTAAAGTATTTAAAATGATAACATTATTTTTTATGGAAAATACCATTTTCCACCCATGTTAATAATCAAATTGCTTCTGTTTTCTAGACAGAGAAAAAGTTGGGTTTGCAGTCTGTTTTTACTAAAAACCTGATTTGTTGGTCCTATTCTTTTCTCACTGATATGAGTAGGCAAAACTCCCTTCCCTGCCAGGAGGGGCATGTCTAGGTCCATTTCTTTCATAACAGGGCTGACAAAGATCTCGGGCTTTGGTCCAAGAGCAGTATCTTCCGGGGTCACTTCAAGTTCTGCCTGGTTTTAAAATTCAGCAATAAATGTCATGTCATTATTTCCAGATAATGAAGAGTTATTGTGTCTGAGGGACCACTGTGGAGCTGTCAGCGTTGGCAGTGTGTAGCACAGGTCTGCGCTGAAGACGGGTCTGCAGACTCGTCCCCGTGCTCATCGGCCGGTAAAGGGAGGCAACACCATGTAGAGTGATGCTGAGTTAGGCCTAGGGGCGGTCTTGCGCTTTCATACCGCTGTGAAAGTCAGGAGTTGCTTTCTTTCTCTCTATTTCCTTTCCTTTTCCTTTTTTTTTTAACATTTGGATGAAACTAGTGTTTGAAAAAAATTCACAGTAAAAGAGCAAGAGCTACTCCAGAGTAGTCAATGGCCAGTTGTTGGCGTTTGCTGGGGACAAGTGTATTTCAGGTTATGCAAGTTATACATTTGATCAGGTTGAGTAAAGACTGACTATGAGACTCCTCAGCTCTCTCTTGGTCTCCTTTTCTGTGTCATAGAATCATAGAATCATTAAGGTTGGAAAAGACCTCTAAGATCATCGAGTCCAACCGTCAACCCAACACCACCATGCCCACTAAACCATGTCCCTAAGCGCCTCATCTACACGTCTTTTAAATACTTCCAGGGATGGGGACTCAACCACTTCCCTGGGCAGCCTCTTCCAATGTTTCACCACTCTTTCAGTAAAGAAATTTTTCCTCACGTCCAATCTAAACCTCCCCTGGCGCAACTTGAGGCCATTTCCTCTCGTCCTATCACTAGTGTCCCTCCCTCTCTCTCTGCTCCTCAGCTTAGAAAACATTCCCAATAAAAGTTCAATCGAAACAGCACTCTCCCATGGAATTTTAGTTCAGATGAAAATGATTTTGCTGATAAATTCCTTGAAACTCCAGAAATGTGAAGTGATTTTACCTGAAGGGTAATTTATTATAGACATGTTGCCCATTAATTGAGATAATCTCCAACAATGACGATGAACAGAGATGATCAGGGATTGTACTTTAAAATGCCATTCGGACTAGAAAAGCAATTTGGGATCCACTTACGTCTCCGTAATGAAAATTGGGTAAGGTAATAAGAGATTTCATTTTGTGAGTGAATTGACAATGCAAATACCAGGATTTTTAATTTAGGTTTAAGTGGAGTAATGGCTACTCATTCTGATGCATCATTAGTCATATTGCTTTTTAATGAGGGATTCACTTTCTTTTCCTGGTTAGCTCTAACACTGATAGCAAAGCCCAATGAATGTGTAAATATTTAGGGAGGTCTGATGAATACATGTCACTGCACCATTTTAATTTAAAAAAGGAAGAAAAAGCAGTTTTCCTTCTATGGTGAAGAAATACACGTTTGCTTTTAGTGCAAGGAAAATAAATAGTGCAGAACGGTGATTGGTAGGCTGTTGTAAAAAATACTTAGAGTAAGATACATTTTGAAACAAATTCTAGAAAATGTAGAGGGCAAATTGCATTGAGTGGTGTTCTCGTGAAAGGGACTGGCTTTATGGCTGGCAGCGGTAGGAAAAAGTGGTTCTTTGGCCATCTCCAACACAGATGAGTTATAAATAATGGCAGATGAAGATTCTTCTTGCCCTACCAAACCTACCCCATGGCCCAAACACCTCATTCCTCTTCTGGACAGATCTCCGTTTAGCATTTTTATTTCTTAGATGGCTTTTCTTTTTCTTTTCCTTTTATTTTTTTTTCCTTTTTCCTTTCTTTAATTAAAAGCTTGTTTTGATGTTCATTGAACTTAGTGGGAATCTTTCCATCAAATTGAATGCATTAGGTCAGATTCATAATCAGCAGTCACTGAAACAACCTAACAATAGTTTTGTCACACACAAGTGCACTGTCTTAAATGGGATTTGCTTAAAAAAAGCAATAGAACTAATCCATTATAAACACTTGTTAGAGCAGAGTTTTGACTGTATCTGTATATTTACCAACACGATTTCAACCAATTTAAGCCAAATTGAAATTAATGCAGACTCTTGCTCCAGGCAGGAGCATAGGGCAGTTAAATTAAATCAATTTAAACTAGCGTATTTTTAGCCACAGCAGTATGGTATTGTGTGTTGGCTAGGCTTAGGTCTGGTTGCCTTACTTGCTTTGGTGGGCGAGGCGTTTTGACTTTCTATGAGGACAAGCTGTAGCGTGATGAAACACATGCTATGTCTAACGTAGACCAACCCGTTCAGATCTGGGGGCAAGAGAACAAGTTTCTGGGATGCAAACGAATGTCCACCAGATCTCTCTCTCTCATGCCTGTTTCTTCACTCCTGGTGCCCCATAAGCATGTGGCATCTTGCAAATCTCAGTGTGGTTTGCAAAAGTCTGAGCAATCCAGGGCCTCTAAACACTGGCGAGGCAACGCACGTCCTTCTGGAGCAGAGCCTTGGAGGAGATCTGTGACCTCTGGGGTCTCCAGCACAAAGCTACAACCTCACATTTTCACTCTGCTGTTTTATTCTGCTTTTCCCTTGCCCATGCAAGAGCCCGTTCGTCACAGATGTCAGGGAAGGGTGCATGAGCTCCTGAGCTGATAAACTAAAGGAGTGGGTAGCAGAGTGTCGGGTCCTCCCCAGGAGGTTGCTGTCCCCCTGTGCACATACAATAGTGAAGAAGAGCTTGCACACAGCAGGGCAGTGGAAGCATAACCAGCCAGGGTAAAATCCTTTCAGGATAACCACCAAGAGACCCCTATACAACACATGCCTGGGACAATGCCAGTAAACTAAGACTCTTCTCATCATCTGCCTTTGTGACCTGCTAACCTTCCTCTGAAAGTATATACCTCCCAGGCATGGTGAAGGAAACTCAGTTTTGCAGCAGTCACTTTTTAGCTTCAGAAGGAGTTATCTCCTTCAGATCTTTCTGTCTCTGACTCTCTATTGTGAAATGCAAAAGAAATATAGGCCACCATCTTCTCTGATGCCACCTTGTAAATTCAGGGGAATCCCAGACATCCAATATGCTGAAGTCATTCCGTATCACTTGACTCGATGTGAGGCACAACAGTTCCCAGCAGATTGAGTGATACAGGACTAGCATCCATTTCTCATGATGGCTTTCTTGAAAACTGCCCTTCTCTTCACAGCTTATAAAAGGAAAGTTGATAGGGTGAGCGTGCCAGAATGGTTGTGAAAGCACTGGGTCACACTAGATGTTTTAACCTAAGAAAACAACATTTTGAAATGAAACCAAAGCTGAACACGTCCTAAAACAGGCCATGTAGCTAGAAGAAAATGTTTCTGACGCTGATAGAAAATTACGTATCCGCTCTGAATGCACCAATTCTTCTCTGCTAAATGGGAGCAAGAAATGGAAATGAACTTTCCTATTTCCAAAGATCTGTGTACGGCCGCAGTCCCCAAAGTCTTGGTTATGGTCAGGCCTTTGGGGTTACTGAGGGGTTTTTATATACAGTTGAGCTGATTTATGAGATTTCCTGTTAAATTTTATTGCACCAGTGGCTTTTCTTTGGTTCTTTTGAAGTAGAAAACATCATTTCTGCAGCAAATGCAGGTCGAAAGTCTTAATGGAGCATAAAAATCTAAAAGGTTATGATTTTATAGCTTTAAAATAGAGGACAGTGCACTTGATATTCTTAAAAATATGAAAAGTTAATGAGGATGTTTATCAGTAATAAAAAGATATAATCTTCTCCCAGACCTTTGATTTTGGCTACTTGTGTATTGGCTTTTTATGGGTGTACTTTTATAAATGAGAAACTCCTCTCATTCTAGGACCGTCCTGTTTCAGAATCACAGAGAGAGAGAACTAATAACATGAGGCAGAAACTTTGTCCAGAGAGATTATTCAGTACTCTCGACACCCAGTGCTGCTTCTCCCTTTGAGCACAGACTATTGATTGCATTTATCTCGTTTCTAGGGTCATACAGACTACCTTTATTTATTTGACTTTGTTTAAGACCTTTGGGTGCATGCAAATTTATAACCAAGTAAGAAACTGTTCTGTCACACACATTTTGCAAGCTTAGGTGAATCACAGTAGCACTGTTTACAAACTCTCATTGCTTTCCACATGCAGGTGATTGGAATAACCTATGGTGTTTTAAAAAGAAAAATCTAGAAAATGTCTCCTGGTGGATTTCTTTTGCTGATTTTGATTTAATCTGAAGTCTTACAAATATTTTTTCATTTGCATCTTAACAAATGTTTTTAATGAACATATAGGAACTTAGGTAAAATAAAAATGCCTTCTTGCTGTATCACTTAATGGAGTAGACCTTGAACGTTCACCTCCAACTGCTTGAAAATGTTTTCTCCAGGTATGGGCATAGAAAAAGCATTTTATGACAATATGTTCACTGTCACTGCTGTTGCAGGGAGAAGTAATGGGAACAGGTCATGGGACAGAAGCGGTCATGGGAAAAGCCAATACAGCAGGAGGGGCACAGCTTTCCTTCTTCTCGTTAATACGGACTGTCTGTTTTCTGTCGTTGTCTTTGCAGCAGTCCAGCACAGGGGACCTGAGGACTCTGAGGAAAGGGTTGTCCCCGTACCACTCTGAGTCACAGCTCTCTTCACTGCCACAGTATCAAGACGCCCTGCAAAACGTAAGAGACGTTTCCTTACCTATACAGACAGACAAGTGGGTTTCCCCAAAAGTGGGCATGGCTGGAGGGGGGCACATGAAGATTACGGGGGAGCTCTCCCAGCTGAGAATTCACCCTGAAACCAGTGGTGCAAACGTGCAGCTGAAACCTGCAGCTGTTGGGAGGATGGGGAGCCCCTGGAAACACTGATCTTTACCTGAGTTTGAATCATCAACTTCCCAGCATAGGTTTTTCGGTTAACTGACAGTCACTGTTGTGCATCTTTTAAAGCAAGAGTGAGTCTTGTTATACCTGCAGCTCCTTCTTTGTAAATGCCCTGTATGCCTGCTGTCAGAAAGCTGGTCATGGATGAGCAAAAGATGGTTTGCCAAGTGTCTGAGTGTCTGGCAGTGCGTGGTCGCACTAAACTTTAGTGATTAACTTCTTTAGGACTTTCATTGCAGGTTCTTCTGTATCACAAATGAGGTTTATGTTTCCTAAGACTTACCTGCGTTGCTTCTTCTCAAACAACAGAAGAATCTTGATTAAAGCCTCCTGCAAAAGATGGATACTGTGCTGCTGTGCCAGGGCTCCTCCTGCACTGGTGTGCCAGGCATGGCCGAGGAGGCCAAGTCCTGCCAGATATTGTCTTCCAGATGTTTGCCTGACTGCCTGAGATACTACATTTGCTTGGTGACATCATTTTCCAGATTGCAGGAAAAGCGTAGATGCAGTCAGGGAGTCCTGCTGTGAGTGGGCTGCGAGTGTCGTGAACGTAAGCAAAAGCCTGATGGCAGCACAGCCAGGGGGACCTCCCTGCTGCCTCATGTCTTCTGCTCCGTGTCCAGGGCACTGGTCAGCAGAGCTGTGGGTACTGTAGGACCAGTTGTACGTTGGCTGCCTGCTTGGGTACAAGTTATTCTGTAGATTTAGTGTGCTTCTTAGAGCTGTAAAAAAAGGGGTAATAATAATTTAAGAAAGTTTGCATAAATAAAACTCCAGTGTGAAAGCAGAGCCCCTTTCTATCCCTGCTGAACTGCAGAATGGATGGAGACCCTCCAGCCAAAAAAAAGCTACAAAACCACGCAAATGAAATGAAGACTGTGACTGAATATCCACTTTTCTAACTTTGTGCCCCATATATAAAGTCAGGAGACTTTATAAGGAGAGCAGAGACATATGAGCCTGGAGGTGTTTGTCTGGCTGTGCTGGTGCCTTACGGTTTTGGGGATTTTTGCTTTGCTTCCCTTGTGCTCAGGCTTTTGATCCCCAGCTTGGTTCCAGGTGGGGGACGCTCAGTCGGCCTGTGCTGGTTGCCCCGAGGAGCACCGCTACACACAATTTTATGTTTATCTTGTGGGTCAGGCTGGGATATGGCCAGCAGCTTTCTGCAGAGGAGCTGTGCCTGGGCTGGGAGCTGGCAGGAGACTTCTCTGCCTGAGAATTTGCCCCCGCAGCTCACCGGGGCTGTGTGAGGGCTGGTGGCAGATGGTGCTGCCTGCTGGAGCCCTTCCCGGCCACTCATCCCTGCTTTCCCTCCTTCCTTAAGGAAGAGGTGGCACCTGGCATTTATGGAGAGGCCTGGGTGCTGCCTGACACTCACCTTCATCTGTCACCCTGGCTGTGTTCTGCCTTCTTTGCGGCAAGATGATAGAAAAAAAACAAAACAGGCTCTGGATCCAACTTCACATTGTCTGGGATACTTACGTAGCCATTTATTTACTTATTCCTACCAAAATCCCTTTGGTTTGTGGCTTGACATGATATATTGTTTTTGTGATGAAGGATAACGATCACAAATTCATGCAGATGTCTTTGAATGTCTCAGGCACCTCCCAGAAAGTGGACAGTTAGACGTACCTGACTTTCTCTGCAGCCTTTTTGTCTGACAGCAGGCATGAGTTTGTGAGAAATTGTTCCTCTTTGTGCCTGCACAGGCTTCACACGGGCGAGTGATGGACAATTGGTGTCGGCTCCAAAGCTGTCACATCCATTCAGGGTTTCATCATTGTCACTGCCTGTGCAACACTTTGGGGAAGTTCCTCAGCACATCCCTCACTGTCACACAGTTTGCACGTAGGCATCGCTCCAGCTCTCCATGGCCCTGACGTACCTCAGTTAATGAAACAGTTTGGTGTTTCTAATGGATCCTGGATCATGGACACCGGTGCACGCTCAAGACACAGAATTGAAAGACACTCGTAATTGCAATCTGTGCACTGTTTAGTCAGTGGTGCATCATGCAGATGGTGAATTATAGATTTGCTCTGTGGTCTGCAGTGGTTACCAAATATCCAGGAAAAGCAGTCCCAGGGGGTTAGTTCTGACCTACAAGCTCCTGGCCACTGCAAGGGAAAGTATGACGTATATTAGCTTGAACTGATAGCAGGCTGGTCAAACTCACCAGCCCTGGGAACTGCAAACCAGCATCATCTCATGGTGTACCAGAGGCTCCCCTTGTCCTTTGGGGGGTGAGGGTGATTCCCTCGGGCTCGGACTCTTGAGTGAGGCATGAGAGGAGGTGGCAACAAGCAGCTCCCTGTGGGACCTGCCATTCCCTGGACTGAGAGGGTCAGGTTCCAGGGCAAGCTGGTTGGGCTGGCTTGATCTTTCCCATTGCCGGCATCCTCCAGACCTGCTCAGCCTTGAAGCAGATGAAGTCCCAGGCATGGGAGCTGACTTTGAGGTACCTGTAAGCAGTGCACTGCTGAGGACCCAGTGGCCAGCCTGGTGGCTGGGTGTCAGCGATGGAAATGATCCCAAAGCATCCTTGGAGGGCTTGTGCTTGCATGTGCTAGCCTGGGCTGTTGCTGTGTCTTCAGTACTTTGGTTCTCTGTGGTAGCTAGAACAGATTTTTTCACCCATGTTGCATCATGTCTTACCTGCACTGCATGTGTTCCCTTCGTGGCTCATCCATGTGGATGTGGCAGCACTTGGGATGAGTTATTGCAGTCAGATTAGCAGCACTCTGATTTACGGCAGGAAGCTGTTGGAGGAGTAACGTTGGGGAGTCTCAGATGTGCGGCTGGAGTGCACAGAGAAGGGGATGCTCAGTCTGTCCTAGAAACTCTTCCAGCTCAGAGCTTTTCTGGAGTTTAACAGTACCAGGTGGGAGTTACTGACTTTCAGTTTTGCTTGTTGGCATTGTCCAAGGAGTCTGGATTGCCCGGTTGTATGGTCTCACCTCTGGTTAGTGAGGTGGAAATTACATTTCAGTAACACTGAGAGTTTCGGGAGAATAATGGCGGTTTTGGGTAATTGCCGTTGCAGGGGGAGGAGGAGCCCTGTAGGTGCAGTGATGTGAATCAGGACTGGGAGCTGTGCCTGCCACTGTGGAGGGACTCTTCTCCTGCAAACATATGTACCTTCTTTTCACCTCTCCGTGCCTCAGTATTTCCCTTGAAGGATTTGGGTGGGAAACCACCCATTCCCTAGCATGGTTTTCAGGCAGTTCTTTATCACTAAGCTAAACGGCACTAAGTGCTCCAGGATCCTCCAGGGGTGGACACTAAAAAGTGGTGTTTAATTTTTGGAACAGTATAGTGTTGCTAGAGAGTTCACTTGTTTCTCTCATGGGCTTTCTCCAGCATTAATCGAATGATGAGTGAAGACTGGGAGGTAGAGTTGCCCACACTCAGTGTCAGCTCTCAGGTCTCTCACTCTCCGTAAAGCCACCCTACACAGTGCTTAACCTTTGGTCACATCTAATGATTGCTGAATTACATTTATGACATGGGGAGAATGTATGGTAGAAAAGGAAATTCTCCATCCACAGTGATAAGGCTCTTATTTTGTTACTAATAATCATGTTTCAGCAATTCATTTTCCAAGAGGTGGTATCTCAGCTGCTGACTTCTGGAGCATTCAAGGCCCCAGTAGCACAGCCAAGGATGAATGCAGTGGCTGAGGCACAGCCCAGAGCTTGCATCTCTGTCTCTTTCCTACTCCCTTTGGCCTCTTCTTGGGTGCTCTGGCTGCCCACGTGGACACACAGTCCCTGCAGACCTTCACGTTCCTGCCTGCTGCCCTGCGGCTGTGCCCCAGGCACGTCTCAGTGCCCAGGCATGGGAAGGTGGCCTGAGGGCTGCTCACATTCCTGTGGTTGGAGGTACCTTCACCTTGAGAAGCTCATAAGCCAGCTGCCTGGAGGAGCCATTTATCCACATTGGCATAAAACACCATTAAATGTGAACCAGCCTGTTGCTAGCAGTCGGAGCTAGCCGGGCCGGCTTAGACTTAAAATTTACTAGCAGCATTCATGTGATTTGTAATAGGAATCCTGCCTTTGGTGGAAGTACCTGTAGAGGTTTGTAATGGAAATATTAAGGTTAGTGTGGATGGAATGTGAATGGAAAAGTATGTGTGAAAACACCAGCAGGAACGCTAGAACAAGGGATGCAGGGATGGCCTGTGCTGATCACCAAAGACAGAGCCGACAGCAAACAAATGGGTAAACACGGCGGGCTGTGTGGTTTGCGTCAGGACCAGGAGGTCTGTGCTGTGATAAGGCCGCAGCATAGATGGCTCATCACTATAAGACCTGTTCCCTGATAATGAGAGCAAGGTTACACTGTGATGTGCCATTGCGCTTCCTGTGGTTCCAAGAGGAAGGCTTAGATAAGGTGCCCAAAATGAGGGAAAGGAGACAACAGGCAGCAGCTTTCCTAGGGTTTATGGGGGGTGAGTAAGCAAGACACTGAGATAAAGATCAGCCTGTAATAACCATTGACTCCTAAAGCATGTGAAAAATGTGTCCAAAACCCAGTTCTTTGCTGTCAATGAGGAGGGGTGCCAGAGCTGTTGTTAGGACTTGCTAGTGGGTGTCCCTTGTCCTCTGTGTTGCACACAGTGACCCTGACCATGCCACATGGACATCTACCTTTCGGTGAATGCATGAGTGTGAGTTTGTAGGTGTGCAGGTGTGAGTGACACATTAGAGAAATCAGTTTTAGGTTAAAATAAATATCACCTTCCCCTTCCTTAAGTTTTTGTACTGAGTTTGTACTGTGGTAGTTTTCTG